ATTGTACACCTTAAATGTACCAATAAATTAAATTTTTAAAAAATATATAAAACAGAACAATCCTCCTTTAATAGCCCAATTGATGTCTCCTGAAGATGACTTGACAAGAGCCTGCCTTAGGTGAGACTATTTCAGAGTCCTCTGAGATCTTAACAATAGGTGGCTCACAATTTAGTAGGAAAGTATGAAAGGCAACAAAAGCAGTAAGATGATGGGCAGGGAATTTAGCTCAGTGGTTCCGGTTCCTGCCTCGCAACCTCAAGGTCCCAAGTCTGATCCCCGGTACCAATACAAAAGCAGTAAGATGATAGAAGTAGGCTTTTAAGAATTAGACACATAGCCAAGACAAAGTAGAGAAGAAAGCTTATTTCCTACTACAATCTGTGGCTTACTCACAACTCTGGAATTCAAATGGAATCAAAGTTTGTGTTGACCTAGATTGAGAAGCCCTTTTCTAAATTCTCTACTACTCTCTTTCTTTTTCTTATAGTCTGAAGTTTCAAAGTATCCTTCTTTGCTTGAAGCCATTCATCATGTCCTTTTTTTATCAGCTTTAATGTACCTTACAGCAGAATTTCCTCCAGGAGGGCAAGAATCCTGCATCATATACTTAGAGGGTGCTTACTATGGGCTGGATGAAGGCCTGACAATCCCTACGGTCATGTTGCTTGAAGCCACTCTAATATTCCCTTAGAACCATAAGCACGCTGAGTTATTGCCAACCTCATAAGGATTACACATCCACTGTTAGCTTTAGCTCAGGTAACAGTATGTGTTTTGTCTCTGCTATTGCCCATCATGTCTTTTCATTTTCCTGTGATGTGCTTATAAACATGATTCCCAATCTATAAGCCCAGTTTAATTAATTCAACACAGCCCCTGTACATTTAAGCATGCAATTTTCTTTAAACCAGATTTTGTTAAAATTGCTATCATCTACTACCTCTGCCTTCCAGGACTACTACTTTCTACTCTAACTAGGAATAAAACACAATTATTTACATGAATGGACTTTATGACCTGATATAAATATATACATATGTATTTGGTACATGTTTGCAGTACATAATGGTTACATTTATCACAGGGAGTTGGTATGCATACATTACACATTGTGCACACCACTTAGACCAACTCCAAGATGAACACCACCAACTATGTGAAAGGTGTGTGTATGACAGTTTCCAAGGATGAGGGATAAGACACCCTCTGCACAAAGCTTCAGAGAAAGCAGGATTATGAAATAAGAGCAGTGGGAACCAAAGTAAGGAAAAAGTGAGGAGGAGTTGGGAGTTCCTTCTAAGTCTGAGCCAAGAGAGATACAATATTAGCAGATATTTTCCTGTGGTGATCCATACAATCTCAAATATAGAGCTAGAGAAAGCAAAGAGAGATTGAGAATTGAGTCCTTCATCCGAGTCAAGCAAACAAAACTCAAAGTTGAAAAAATAGAAAAAAGATCTGAGGCCATGTGTAAGACGTTAGTGCCAGAAAACATCGAACTAAAAGGATGTGCTTTTGTGAAGAAGAGAATGCTTTTTGAAAAATTACTAATGCTCATTTTATTTCATATTCCTCTAGAGTTTACAGTCAATATATTTACTGGGTAGAAATGTACATAACTTTTGTCAAGGGGAGAAGAAGAGGGAAGGTGCTTATGTCAGGAAGTTTTCAGGATTTATGGAAATGAATGGTTGTGCTTATGTTAACCATCCTGGGTAATTCTTATACCCCTGTTGTGTTTATTTGAGGATATAAAAATGACTAAATAAATCTGAAAAAAAACTGTACTTTATTGATTTTACAGAGTTAAGAGGAAGATTTATGAGGCCTGGAGCCTTCCATCAGGTGTGGAAGAAAGTAAAGTGAATGCAGCAACGCCAGGCTGGCACTGAGGCCCACAGACAATCCCCCGCTCACTCTGCAGAACATTGAGATTTATTAGTAATATGCTGCTCTCGCAAAATGAAAAGAAAGTAGTGCCAAGAAGGCATATTCTTCAATATTTGGAGTAGGAGTTGCCCTCAAGACAATGGCTTCAAAGGTCTCCTGCTTATATGTGTTGACTGTTGTGTGCTGGGCCAGTGCTCTCTGGTATCTGAGTATAACTCGTCCCACTTCATCCTACACTGGCTCTAAGCCATTCAGCCACCTAACAGTTGCAAGGAAAAACTTCACCTTTGGCAACATAAGAACTCGACCTATAAACCCACATTCTTTTGAATTTCTTATAAATGAGCCCAACAAATGTGAGAAAAACATTCCTTTCCTTGTTATCCTCATCAGCACCACCCACAAGGAATTTGATGCCCGCCAGGCTATCCGGGAGACATGGGGGGATGAGAACAACTTTGAAGGGATCAAGATAGCCACTCTCTTCCTCCTGGGCAAGAACGCAGATCCTGTTCTGAATCAGATGGTTGAGCAAGAGAGCCAGATCTTCCACGACATCATTGTGGAGGACTTCATCGACTCCTACCACAACCTCACCCTCAAAACATTAATGGGGATGAGATGGGTGGCCACTTTTTGTTCAAAAGCCAAGTATGTCATGAAAACGGACAGTGACATTTTTGTAAACATGGACAACCTTATTTATAAACTCCTGAAACCCTCCACCAAGCCAAGAAGGAGGTATTTTACTGGCTATGTCATCAATGGGGGGCCTATCCGGGATGTTCGCAGTAAGTGGTACATGCCCAGGGATTTGTACCCTGACAGCAACTACCCACCTTTCTGTTCAGGCACTGGCTATATCTTCTCAGCCGATGTGGCTGAACTCATTTATAAGACCTCACTCCACACAAGGCTGCTTCACCTTGAAGATGTATACGTAGGACTCTGTCTTCGAAAGCTAGGCATACATCCTTTTCAGAACAGTGGCTTCAATCACTGGAAAATGGCCTATAGTTTGTGTAGGTATCGCCGTGTTATCACTGTGCACCAGATCTCTCCAGAAGAGATGCACAGAATCTGGAATGACATGTCAAGCAAGAAACATCTCAGATGCTAGAATTTTTACCAGTGTAAATATGTTTCTTTTCTTTTTTAAGAAATAGAGCCTAAGGTGGTATTTTACAGGTGTCACCGGGGGAAATGAACTGATGAAGGGGTTTTGTAAAGATTTTACTTTCTGCTCCTAGTTCCTTTCTTGGATTACCAATTTACAAAAGCCAGGCTCTGGTCATACAAACAACAGTGAATTAGAAGGGCCAGATTTCATTCTCAGCTCCTAAGACATTGTCATGTATCTCGCAAAGGGACTTCCAAACAGCTCCTAGGATTTGTGCACTGTGCATCTAAGATAAAAATCTAGTTCTGGGAAACTGAAACTCACAGTAATGTCTTCATATCATCTCTGCAAAAAATAAATAAATAAGTAAACAACTTTTTCAAAAACAATTCAGAAATGATGCACAGCCAGAAAGACACACTGGATGTGATGATCAATACTGTATGTGTTATTGCTACATTGAATTTTTACATATATTGCCATGTAATGTGTACAGTATTTGTAATTCCAATGAGAAGGAAACAGTACTAGCAGGGGTGCTGCAGAGAATAGATGGGAATTTAAACTTGAGAATCAAATATTCTGTATGTTTGAAAGATAACTCTGCTTGCTCATCCAAGGATTAAACCTGGTCAGTAGGTGAAATGTACATAAAATACTAAAATAAAGTAATTTTTTTTTACTCTTTCAAAACAAACATTACATTACATGGTGCCTCCAAGGAGATTTTGCCAAATGTAGTAATCTCACTTGCTTCCCTCCATATAACACCAAGTGAATTTCACAGTTTCTGGATCAGGCAGGCACCTGTCTCCATAAGTAAACAAGTTGGCAGGAGGCCAGAGAACACTAAATCATATTAAGAGAATATAAAGTTATATATATATTATAACTAACATAAGTTTAGCAATAGTATAATATGCCCCTCCCACACATTTGCAAAGCATGTGAGAAAATCATTCTGGGGTATCAGTATTTCTGAAAAACTTTGGTCCTCCTGTTGATAGATGGAATATTGTTTAACATCTGAAACACCCAAGCACCTTTAGAAATATAGCTATATGAGGGCTTCTGGGTGGCCTGTGACTAAAGTTCCTGGGAAGGAAGGATGAGGAAGACTGGATTCAGATCCTATTAATGCTACCAAACTTATTGGACCACGTGAGCAGGCCACTCAAATCTTCTGTATTTCAATATGCTCACTTATAAAATGGCTGTAAAAAAAACCTACCTCACAGGTGCTGTGAGAGCAAATCACATTTGCTAAGTATTTTGAGATCCTTAGTATATAAGGTGCTACATAATGCCATGCATCATGCATTATGTTAAATGCTAAAATGATTATGATAATTATAATGATGGTCATGAGTAGTAATAAAAATTATCTTAACATAAAATATACCAAAATAAAGATCAGCTATGAGCTATCAGTATACATAATTCTGCCAAGATGTTGATATTTCCTTGGGTATAAGTTAGTTGTTTGGGGAACTTCCATTTCTCTGCCATTTTTTCTGCGTTCAATGAGTAAATTATTACTTCTGTGTGTTGCCTTGATATCCCAAGGTGCTGAAAGAAAGCCAGCTGCCTTCCTTTGGGGAAGAGCTTTGTAAAAATGCATGAAGACAACTTATATCTCAGGAAACATTTGACCTGAGTTCTCTTTAAGAACTTTTAGGACAGGTAGAGAGAGTCCATCTCTATTAGAAGAAGTCTAGGCACTCAGCAAATCTGCACATTACACACCCACCATTCTTTAGAAAACATTGTTCCCATTCAATGAAATCCCCACAGCTGAAAAAGTACACCTAGTTTTTTATTATTTTTTAACCTAATCTTTGGAAGCTCCCACAGAAGTTGATATCAAACAGGTAGACATTAAATGGATGTCATGGCCTATTTCTTGAAAAGACTGGAAATCTCATCCCTAGTCCAAAGTACCCAATATGAGACAGGAGTTCCTGTCCCTTAATGGATCTTCCTTCATCTTATGGTCAGCGGGACTGATGATTTTGATGACAGAACACTGTTAGGTAGCCTGGGGAGAGATGGCACAGAACAAGGTGAGCCACATCCCGATCCCTACCTTGTAACCTCAACTGCTGTGAGTTCCAATCGCTGGGAAAGTCTCATGACTTCATAGTTGGTTTGCCTCCCCACTGGGCAGCGGAATCAAGTCTCTGTCTCATACTACTGCCTTGCATCTACCCTATGCTCAGTCAAGTCACCTTTAGTGTCAAGTAACTGCACATTGTAAACATCGCATATGTACATCTGAATTGTTTTATATGTGTTGATATAGAGTCTGAATAGACCCCTAATCTTGAAAAGGAGCAAAAATCAGAAAATCATGTCTTAAAGAACTCTTTCCTAACTTTTTTTGCTAGATAATGCCCATGTGACAAATATGTAAATATTCATCAAAGACCACATGTATATATTTTAAAGTTCTTTTTTCTTCTCCCCAGTTGTATGTACAGCTAGAATTTGCTTGCTATGTAATATTTTCTTCTGCATGAAACTTGGTAAGGCAAGGCCATTTGTCCAATATTTCAATACCCTTAAGCATGTTTACCCTTTGCTTTGTGAATGTTCAAAAAGTGTTTAAATGATCAAGGAAAAGTTTTAACTTTCTACTTTTGTTAATTTTACAACACGAAACTGACCAAATTATTTCTGCAATATTTGTTAAGTCATTATTATCATTTTTGACATAAAATAGTGTCTCATTATAAAAGGCAGTATTCTGGGGCTGGGAAGGTAGCCCAGTGGTAGAGTAGCTTGTCTAGCACGTGCAAGGCCCTGGGATCCATTCCCAGCAGTGCAGAAAAATTAAAATTAAAATGATGGTGTTCTACCAGGAGTCATTCGGATGATTTTTACAGGAACTCCATAACTTCTCCCCTATGTTCATAATGCACTGGAAAACAATGCCTATCAATAGTGTTTATATTCTTAATGTTTCTTTTAAAATTCATTTTGGCTAAAAACATTTTATCTTTTGTAGCTAGTTTGTGTGGCTTTGTGTCTTCTTATATTGGAGCAGTTTCAATACACCATAGTATACTTTTAAATAACCAGAATCAAAATGAAGATGATTTTTAATTTGAACTAAATTCAGAAGAACAAACCACTTAGGTGATACGGGGGAAACAAACTCTTTACAGAGAAACCAAGGAAGGAGTTTTTCAATCAAATTTCTTCTACCGAAAGACAGTGAATATTTATGTACAGTGTCTGGGATTCATTTTCTACCTTTCCTAATATGTGGGTTCATTGGGGGAATTGATTATGTCATTTCTTCTGTAAAGCTGAAGATGGTTTTTATAAGCAACAAAGTGACTTGTGAATGAAAGATGTAATTTACTAGAAACACTTGTTGATCATTGACATTTAGGTATATCATTATATATGAATGATTGTATTTATGTATTTATTTGTTCAAAATTGTACATACCGTTTCACCACAAGTAATTGTCTGTAAAAGTGCACCCTCTGGGGTTTGTAGTACTACTTAGGGTTACTTGGGTTGCCAATCAAGCTGCTAATCAGAATACTATTTTTTTGTATCAATGTTTAAAACTAAAAATGATAAATAGATGCTGACGATGTCTTCACATTCAGTTTCTTCACTTTCCTCTTGAAATGTAAACTGTTGATTGAAAGCACGATGCAAATGTACAGGCCCATCTGTCATGAGGAAGATTACGGTTCCATAAAGCTGATTTTTTAAACCATTGGGACAAATAAACAGAAGAACATATTTGATTTCGTTGCTTTTTTAAATAAATCTCTCTGAAGAGATGGGATTGTTAAACTTGGTCAGTGGCTGACATTTATCAAAATCTTCTCCATGACTTCATTGTAGTGGTTCAAGCCATTCAGAGTTGAACAACTGAACTGCCAGCAGGGAGACTGTTTGGACCAGTAAGTAGACATTGGGTTACTTTTGGAATTAGGAAACTGGTTATTCATTTGACCCTTCTTTACTTGAAGGAAGTGTTTTAACTAGACTCTGCATTAAATCATATGGGTCAAACTTGCCAAAAAATTCTAAGCCCAGGAAGACATTATGTTGCTAATATGATTGGTGAATTAGGGCATGTTAAATCTAAGACAGAGACACCATTCTTCTGTTTTACCCATATATATCCTTTGCAATATTGTATATAAGTTTAACTGAATTGGAAAAGAGCTATTTAGGCATTCTTTAACACAGACAAATAGATGCTGATTGCCGATCCCTAACTCTGTAAGCAAGTCACTAAGAGCTACTTGAGAACCAAAAAAGGAATTCATTATAAGTCTTGATCTAGCTAAGCAGTTATTAATTTTCTAAGGGAAATTTAACTTTGGGTTTACTCCTCCTCTACTTTGGAGTTCAAAAGGTAAAGTCTATCAGGTAAGCTGAAATATGTGAGTGAACAATAAAAGCACAAAACATGCATATTGCTATTCCATGTCACTTTTTCAAAGGACTGACATCAAGAACAATGTACTAAAACTATGGTTCCCTAACTACTAACATCATCTTTATCCAGGGACCTTTTAGAAATGCAAATTATCGGACCCTCTACAAACTGGAGGGTGTAGCTCAGCAGTGTTTAAACGCTGTCAGTGATTCCCACGCAGGCGGAAATTGAGGCTTGGCTGGAGCAGAGACTGCCAAACTAGTGTGTGATTACAGCCAGCCTGCTGCCCACCAGCTGAGAACCATTTTACAATGAACATTTGCATAGTAGACCCTAACACTGAACCTCAACTGGGTGAAACATTGGCCCAATAATAAGAATTCCATTCTTTTTGTTATGTAGCTACATATTGCAAGAGAAAAAAAATGTACTCAATTATTATTGCACTATATTTTGGATTCCACCAATACAAAAACCATAGAAGTGTCTTTGCCCTGTTGTTATTTAAATATTTTCATATATCTAAAATTTTGCCTCTTAACTTGCAAAGCTTAAAATATTTATTATATGGCAATTTATTAAAAAGCGCTTACCAACCTCCAACCTAGAGAAATAAGGAAGCGTCTGCAAAAGGCATTAACACCCAAAATCTTTCCAACTCTTGAGTGAGAGTTCTCATCAATAAAGCATGCTAGAATCATCTCTTTATGCAGCTAGGGAAATGACAATGCCATCCTGATCATGAATTATATTAGAAACAAGCAGCTGCATATATTTTTAAATATTTTCCCTTTTCTCTCTCGGGGTGATGTTTTCGAACTGTAAAAGCTTGACTTTAATCGTAACAATTACCCATGGTTTAATTAATATATTGCTTAAAGATGCATTGGTATCAGACCTAAGAGGGTGGGTTTCATATAGCTTGATTATCATAATTACAAGCATTCTATTTTCTCATTTACTTAATTGATTGTCATAGATTTCCAGATGAATTCACACTGCTGGAAGAGAATTGAATACATTTCTAAGAGGAAAAAAAAAAAAACAGAAAGAGGGCTATTTAGAAAAGTAATGTGTCCCGGCATATAATCCATGTCAGCATGAAAAATTGCCTTTGATAATATCTCCTTACCTCTTTGCTGGCTTAAATGGGCATTTTTGTGAAATGAAAAAGAAATGAATGAAAAAGTATTATTGATTCAACCACATCTGTAATAACACTGGCTCCACTGTCTCTTCAGCTGAAGTTGCCCTGCACTCAAGAAAAATTTTCCATTTAGTTTTTCTTATAGAATCTATTAGTTTGGTACATTATGTCGACTATTTGTTATGCCTCTTGCAATGACCTCAGTCCTCACCTGGAGGGAGCATGGCATAAGAAGTGATTTATTCTCTTTCTGAGGTTTATTCCAGAGCATTTACTCAGCAGTGGCTGCCTGATATAGCAAGCTGAGCAGAGTTATGTGGGGGTACAGGGGGTGTGAAGAAGACTATTTTTCAACAAAAGCAAAGATGACCTCAGCTAGCAGGAGGTGAGGAAAAAACACCAGAGAAATTTCTCCTATCGCAAAGGCTTAAATCTTCAGTCCAGTCCTCTGTGTTATTATTGTTTAACCCTAATAACAGCCCCCACCAAACAGATTCTGCTGTTATTTCCAAATGACAGATTAGAAAACAGGGTACAAAAAATATTGTAATTTACAGGGTAAATTCATACCCTCTGGCTCTAAAGGCCATGTTCTTAACCAATTCAATATGTTGCCTTTCAAAACTAAGAAATATACCCCACCACCACCACCACCACCATACTGTTCAGGCCCCAATTCCTGTGGAATTCAGTGTCACTATTTTAAATTGTTTTTCAGATTGAAATTTTTACCGCTATTTTAAAACTTGAGTTGTAATGTACACACTTCAAAATTTATCCATATCATGTGTACACATCTATGAGTTTTGACAAATGCATACACATGGGTAACCACCACCATAATCAAGATACAGAGCTCTATCAAGCCCCAAAACATGCTCGTGCCTCTTCACAATCTGTCCTCTCCTCCAGCCACTTGCAATTCCTGATCTCTTTCCAAACTTCTGTTTTACATGAGATTTGCATGTTACACAGTGGTCATCATATCTAATTTTTAATGTAATGTTCCACAGATAATCCAGTATAACACCTTCGTGCTGAAAAAGGGAAAAATTAGAAAGGAACAGAATGGAAAAAGGAAAAAAAAGCAACTTAAAATAGTTAAACAACATGTAAGTACAGGTAAAAGATTCAGGTATGTTGAAATAAACCCACCACTGATTTGATACTATCAATGTCTAGTGAATAATAATAAGGTACAAGTCACAAATCCCATTCCCTCAGTTTGTCCTAGCTTACTAGAAGATTTAATAGAGCTTCTGTCCTTCAGAACTCCCATATACATTTTGGTAGAGAGAACAGTCTGTAAGTTCAATTATATTTGTTTCCTCTTGGAAGCCAACAGTCCTCTGGAGAGGCATCCATCACCGGCTACCTCATTAAAAAAAAACCAAGCCCTGTCTGTACGCTGCGTTTGTCTCCACACCTGTGTCAAACCACCCTTAGATGAGTTCTTCTATACCTGCTTGTGCGTCCTTTGGTTTCTAAAACATATGCTAGTTCACATCTCCATTAGGAAAAGACAACTTTGCAGCTTTGCGATTCTCTAAAAATATCATTGACAGAGGATCTGAGTTAACTTGGAAAGCGTGCCATTTACAACAAGATGTCCCTCTACCTGAATGGGAGAGCAAGCCATAAGTAGCTCAGTGTGAGAACAAAACATGATATCAGAGGAAAAGGGCCACCCACAATCTATACCACACTTTCTAGGTTGCCATGTGCCTTTTAAATACATGAGAGTCTTGTTAAAACACTGAGTGGGGGTTCTGAGGTACAACTCAAGGTTCTGATTTTTCCATCCAGACAAGGCTGAGACTGCTGGTCTATAGACTGCCCTTATCAAGGGGAATATCAAGGCTCTGATATTCAAGGCTAAATTCTAGACAGGGATACCAGTATTTGTTAAGCATCTACTTGGAACCTCGCCAAAGGCTTTGGCATATATTGCCTCTTTCCTCACAAAAACTTGGAGGAAGGAGTTAGGCATTAAGGTAAAGCTTGAATCTCTAGTATAGTTTTAGGTTAGAAATTTGTTTCGTTTTGTTTTAATTTCTTGTGTGTAGATTTCTCTAAGACCTTATAGGAGAAAATTGAAGTCCTAAAAGAAAGCAATACATTCAAGGAACAAAAACAACAGAAAGCAAAATACTACACTATAATTTTGGTGATCCAGTGCCCAAAAACCAAATGCAAGATCGATTTTATGTTGAAGTCCACTTAGAGTTCATGACCTAGAATCAAGTCAAAGTCAGCCTTGATAGCTTCATCTTCCTACCAACAACCAAACACTAAACAAAGCAAAGAATGGCATATGGTGTAGGGCAGAGGAGACAGGGAGGAGATGGCCAGGCTGCCAGGCTCCTGGCCCTAGACCACAGAGACAACAGGACACAGGGAGAAAAGTGAGAGAGAGGGCCACACAAGCATGCTGTCTGTCACCACATACAAGATACGATGGGAAGATACAGTAAATGTTCAAAGTTTTTAAAATATTACAGTAAATCAGGCATTGCCATTAATTCCCCTCACTTTGGACATATTTACCCCATCATTCTTGCCACTTTCTGAAGCAGTTTGGAAGTGCTGTTTCATGAGTGGCTTTAGGGACACTGCTGTGGCTACCTTGATGGCCTGAATCAATTTATTCTTTATAGTCATTTTGACTTTGAAGAACTGTAAGAAGTTGCACGGTGCCAGGTATGGTGAATAAGGTGGATGAGGATACACCATAATGTTTTTACTAAGCCTGCCTTTCTATTGAATAGCACTCAGCAGCAGTGTTCACCATATTTTTGATCACACCTTGTAAAGACACTCACAAAAGAGAACTTCAGCACTGCTTCAGAAAGTGGCAAGAACAATGAGATAAAATGATGAATAATGTGTTCAAAGTAAGGAGGGATGCTTTGAAGTAGATTGATAGCATATGTCTTTTACTGTAATTTTTTAAATTTAAACATTTCCCATATATTTTGATTATACCTCAAAGTCACTCCTACATATGCAATATAAAGTGGCCAGACCATTGTCATAGAACATGACCATTTATTTGATTACTTGGAAGGACCAATGATTAGGGTGCAGAAAAGAAAGCTGTTGCTGGCATAAACAAACAAAACAAAAACTAGGCGGTAACACCCACAAAAAGAATCCAGCATTTTATTATGGTCACCATGTGGGAGTTGAGGAATTCAGGAGTCT